TTTTTTCTTCTTTATTTTGGCCCTCACCAATCAATCGCTAGAGTGTCTGCATATCACTCGGCATGCACTGTTGGCCAGGCCTGGCCAGTCAAACGGATGAAAAACGTCGCAGATTGAATAGCTACTTTTGAGCCCCTCATTCTCCGACTCTAAATCTGTCACTGTCTACTCAGTTTTTCCCTCTTTCCTTTCCTATTTTTTCTTCAAATCTCATTTGTTTGTTTCTCTCACTCTCAGCTGTTGCTGCTGTTGCCTTCTGTCTTATATAAACCCGTAATGTTGCTGCTGAGATAGTGTTCTTCAACAACTCGACAGCTGCACCAATTATTAACGGTAAGTAAGTGGAAGTCAGTCTGCTCTTCTACCCTAATTGCCCTAACTCATTAAGGGACACTTGTTGCTGGGTAGATTAGAGCAGCAGCAGCAGTGTACTAGAGTACCACCGATTGCGACACACCACCACCACTACCACTAATTAATTGGCAACTCTTCTTTTCTACTCTTACTCAACTAGTTAACTAATTAACTGCCCCAGACATTGAGAGAGCAAGCAACTCTGGGCAGACTGCGAGGCATCAATCTCAAGAGAGATTTTACTGGAGAGAGTTGTTTGCTCTTGATATTGCTGATGTTCCTTTTGTTCAGACCAGTGCAGACCAGTGAACAGACGGTGTGTGCAGTGACTGCTGCTCTAGTCACAACGACAACCGAAGCTAATCTTAACTCTGCGCTTTCTTTTCTTTTCTTTTTTTCTCTTTCTGGTATTCCCTGACTGACTGGGCCACAACTGTCATTTCTTTTTCTCAGCCATAACTAATTTTGTTTTACTTTTTCTTTGTTTTCTTTTTTATTTGCAGACATATCGATGTCTACGATGGCAGCGAAGGTGGCCACCACCACCGCCGTGAGTGGCGGCGGCGGTGTTGATGTAAATCGAAAGTACGCTCCACTTGCCTTTCCGTTCAGTGGTGCACTAGCACCTTCTTCTTCTTCTTTGCTGATCGATGCTAGCCTAGAAAACAATATCTCATCAACTTCTACTACCGTAGCAACTACTACCTCCAACGACGACGATGTCTTCAGGAAGAGAGTGACGAAAGTGGTCCTCGACAGTGACACAACAGCAGCAGCAACAGCAGCCTCACAAAAAGAAAGCAGTGAAAGCATGGAAAAAGACGCAGTCGAAAGAAGTTGCCATCAAGGACAAACACAAGTTAATGGCTCAATTGCTGCTCTGGAAAAGCATCGAATTATCGAGAATGATGGTGCCTGCACAGCAGTAGAAAAACAGATGGCACCGATTGATCATCATCACCAGCAACAGCAGCAACAACAGTCCAAAGGTCTCACCAGCCTTTCTCATGGCACAACAACAGCACTCTCAAATGTCGAGTTTGTGGACGCAAAGAAAGAAGGAGACCGAAAGAAGCAGCAGGAGAGCAGGAGGACATTTGAGGATCAGTTGAAGCCATTCAACTCCATTCCCGGACCTTGGCCTTCACTGCCCCTCATCGGCACTGGCTGGCAGTACTTTTACTTGGGTAGGCACACACATTAGTACTTTTCTCTATCGTTTGACAGTCGCCGGTGATTAATCATCACCACAACTTTCCCTCTCTCTCTTTCTCTTTCTCGTCTCTTTGTTTATTTTCTTTTCCTTTTCTTCTTTACCAGTTGGCCGCTACGATCTCAACCGGCTGCACGAGGCGCACATTGACCGGTACCGCAGCTACGGGCCAATCGTCCGTGAGGAGTACCAGTGGGGCCGCTCCATCGTCCACCTCTACGACCCGGACGACTTTGAGGCGGTGGCCCGGGCACAGGGCCGCTGTCCGGTGCGGCCGCCCAATGAATTTGTCTCCACACTGCGCCAGTCGAAGCCGGACATGTATCCGAATGTGGGCTTTGCAAACCTTAATGGACCGGAGTGGCAGCGACTTCGGGCGAAGCTGGCGCCGGCCATCATGAAGCTCAGTACCATCCACGAGAGCATGGCCGGCCAGAATGAGGTCTGCGATGATTTCCTGGAGTACTTGTGGGCGGTTCGACGGCCCGAGACGAACACTGTGGAGAACCTGCAGGAGGCTGCTTATCGGTTAGTTCTTTTTGTGATAATTTGAATGCTATCAGCTAATTCATCTTTTCCCACCCATNACGAACACTGTGGAGAACCTGCAGGAAGCTGCTTATCGGTTAGTTCTTTTGATGATTAATTGAATGTTATCAACTAACTTATCTTTTAACCTTTTTTAGGTTAGCACTAGAGTCTATCTGTTTGATGTGCCTTGACTCTCGCATTGGCAGCTTTCCCGACTCTTCGCCCTACGACAGTGGCATCTCTGATGAAGATGAGGAGGGAGAAGAGGAGCAAAATGAGGCCGTCAAGGACGGCGAGAAACTGATCGAGGCGACCAAGCTGATGTTTGACAGCTTCAATAAGCTCTACTATGGCTTGCCTTTCTGGAAGTACTTTGCCACCTCGGCGTACAGCAGCCTCGACCAGGCGGAGACCACAATCTACGAGCTGGCCTCCAAGTACATTGACCGAGAGATGGACCTCATTCTCAATGGTAGAAAATAAAACGAATCAGTTTGAATGTTCATGATTTTAACCTTTTTTTCTGCAGGCGAAGAACACTACGACTCAAATGAGAGCGTCCTGAAGACGCTGCTGAAGAAGACGAAGGCCGACCCGAAGGAGCTGAGCAAGGAGGAGGTAAAGGTGACCATCATGGATTTCATCATCGGCGGCATCTTCTCCGTCTCCAACTCGCTGGTGTACCTCTTCTACCACCTGGCCGCTAATCCCGATGTTCAGGAGAAACTGTACCGGGAGATTGAGTCCGTCATTGGCTGCAGCTCAACATCATTTTGCAGTTCACCCGAAGATGAAGATGATCAAAGATCATCTGCCCATCATCACCTTGTGAAGGAGCACGTCACCTCCGGGCAGCTGGCCCGCATGCCCTACCTCAAAGCCTGCGTCAGTGAGTCCTTCCGGTTGAACTGTCCGGTGCCGGGCATCATGCGGGTCACCACCGAGCCGATGGTCCTCAGTGGCTACCACATTCCCGCTAATGTAAGTGACATTCCTTTGACATTTTTGTGCATCATTTTAACAACTTCTTTTTCTACTATTTGCAGACGCCCGTCTTCTCCCACTGCATGACCACCTGTCGCCTGGAGGAGTACTTTCCCCAGGCGGAGCGTTTCTGGCCTGAACGGTGGACCGACCCGGCGCAGACCCAACGCAATCACCCCTTTGCCCTCCTTCCCTTTGGCTTTGGGGGGCGAATGTGCGTGGGGAAACGCTTCTCCGAGAATGAAATCTACCTGGCCACCGTCCGCCTGCTGATGGCCTATCGCATCGAGCTGGCCGGTGCGGAAAACGGCCGATGCAGGCCGCTGGAGCTGAGGCACGCCTTTATGGTCATTCCGGCGAATCCCATCTCGTTGAGGATCATTCCCAGGTGATGGTAGTGGTGGTTTGGAGATTAAGTGAGCCAGAAACTCAGACAATCAATGTGATCATTCTCTTTTCATTTGTGATACCGACTACAACGCACCTTATTGTGCACTCTTTTTTATTGAACTGGAGCTAGCACTCTCGTTTAGTTCATAGCACAAATTGCTTTATTTTTTCATTAAAGCTAAATTTTGAAATTACAACGGATAAGTAGATAACTGCCAGTGACAAACCTTTTTTGAACCTTATACTACACTACACTAGACCGTGATGATAGGTCTGATTGAGTCTACTGGGAAAGCGATTGGTGATTGCCCCAGTCGTCATCATTGGAAGGCGCTGGCTGACAACAGAGTTGTTTTGATTGCTGCTGCTCAAGTTTAGGCTGTTCAAGTTTAGAGCCGCCGCAGCCGCCGCCGCCTCCTTCTCCAGCTCAAAATCTTTTGTTGACGTCGTTGTGGCCATGGAGTTGTGCCGCTTGGCATTCAGCGCAAAAGTGGCCGTAATGGTGTGCACGGCGGCCCGAAAACGACTGCGCTTCTTTGTCAGAAAGTACCAGAAGCGCCGCACGAAGACCTCCAGTATCTCGAAGAGCGACAAAAAGCTGAAGCCGATGTACATGCCGAGGATGCCGCCCAGTGAGGAGAAGAGCTTCGCCGTGGTGTACGCCTTCTCCTGACGGACCTCCTGGCAGGTCATCGTCTGGAAGTACACCGTCACCTTCGCCAGGTTCTGAAAGTTGATATTCGCCTTGCCCCGGTCGAAGGTGACCTTGTCCTCGCGAGTCGGCCACCGTGTCATCGACACCGTCTTGTCGTAGTTGATCACCTGGCAGCGTGGCGGACACTTGCACGTGCTCACCTTCTCCTCCGCCTGGAACATCACCTCCTCGACGCACTTTCGCGTACTTCGCCGCCGCGTGTCGCAGATCTTCAGCGTGGAGTTGAGCTCCAGCTGGGGCAGCATCGCCGACTGGCACTTGCAGCGGGTGTGGATCGTCCGCTGGAGGCAGATCTTCAGACAGGCCTGCTGCGAGTAGGAGGCGTTCTGCGTGAGGCGGCCGATCAACGCTGAGGGCCAGTGGTCGATGCAGTCCTCCGGATACGGCTTCGGCA